ATGTTCCTTACATTGGTGGTCGGTCAGTGGGAAGAATGTCCCTTACATTGGGGGGTCAGTGGGAAGAATGCTCCTTACATTGGGGGGTCAGTGAGAAGAATGTCCCTTACATTGGTGGTCAGTGGGAAGAATGCTCCTTACATTGGTGATCAGTGGGAAGAATGTCCCTTACATTGGTGATCAGTGGGAAGAATGCTCCTTACATTGGTGGTCAGTGGGAAGAATGTCCCTTACATTGTGATCAGTGGGAAGAATGTCCCTTACATTGGTGGTCAGTGGGAAGAATGTCCCTTACATTGGTGATCAGTGGGAAGAATGTCCCTTACATTGGTGGTCAGTGGGAAGAATGTCCCCTCACATTGGGGGGGATCAGTGGGAAGAATGGCCCTTACATTGATGGTCAGTGGGGAAGAATTCTTCTTACATGGTGGTCAGTGGGAGAAGAGGAGGACACACTGAAGGAGCTCTCCCTGAGAACCAGCATTTTCAAGCCTGGGCCTTGCCTGCTAGCTTGGCCCAGGAACCATGCCTGATCCAGGGGGAGGCCCTGGGGAGGGATTCCCCTGATGAGACCGGGCCTAGTGAAGAGGAGGAGGTGGAGGACCTGACTGTGGGTCCCGGCCCTGGTGAGGATGTTGATGTCTTCAGACAGAAGAGATACTGATAGATTTGTGACTATTGGAAGAGCTGAGGAGAAACTTAATGTTTTGAAATCTGAACACAAAACCTTCAGAGCCAAATACTGCCAGTCCTGGAGCAAGAACAGATTGGGCATGAAGCCAGCGCTCCAGCACATGGAGGATAAAGTGAAGAAACAATCTTTATTATTAGAAAAGTTGAAAGCAAGAACATCGTGGAGCATTTAAAAGAAAAGTTCGATAATGAGAGGAGAGATTTGTCAGCCAGACATCAGTGAGCTCTGTGGATCAGCAGCCCCAGGTAATGGGATGACCCAGCTCCATCTACATCAGCATCTCTCCCCCCCATGTCAGGCTGTGGAATCACCAGTGGCAACCAGCCAGGGGGTTGAGGGTGAGTATGGAACCCTGAAGTTCATCCAGCAGATGGAGTCACCCCTGAGAGCAGACAAGTTTGCCTTCACTGATGACCCTTCAGAAGTCCCTGAGGATGGACAGAGGAGGTACAGAGCAGCAAAGCCAAGACTGGGTGGAGAAAGCCCAATACACCAAGATGGCTGCTTCCAGCATGTCTGCCCCACCTGCTGTGGTGAGTACTGTGGATGAGGAGCTCTGCAAGCACCTGCTGTGGAGGAATCCTCATCCAACCTGGAGAGGAAAATCCCTGGCAGAGAGGTCTCCAGACCATCAGGGGAATGTGGATGAACCTGCACCAAGCACCCCACGGATGGAAGTTACTGCTGCAGTTCCTGGCTGAGACAGTAGTCCCCTCTACAGGCAAGATGGCTGACCCCTGCAGAGAGACTGTTTTCACCTGAGCTCCCAGGTGCTCCAGAGCTGATTGATGCTGGTGGGGGGAGGGGAGCAGCACACTGCACAACATGGAGAGCAAACAGCACACATGGATGTCTCACTTGTTGCTGTGTCTGAGAATCCAATCCAGTCCTGGGCTGAGTCTCCTTCCTTGGAAGGAGAGATGATGATGGAGCTTCTATGGTTGCAGCAGTGAGTGCGGACATTGCTGTGAAGTCTATGACTGTTGAGACTGGTAAAGCAATGGATGTGTTGGTGGTGGGTGGAGAGTGAAGGGGATCTGTGCAATCGGTATCTGCTAGAGTTGTACCAGACGCTCCCAGACACACAAATGTTTCTGCTGCTGGGGAGGATTGGGGGGGAGCTATGCCTCTGTTTTGGGGAGTCGCACCAAGGGGGGTGGGGGGGTAGTGTTGGGGAATACTAATGGTCACAATTTTGGAGGTTTGGTGGTGGGATGGTTGGTGGGGTCAGGAGAAGGAATGTGGTACAGTTGAAGTGGGAGGGGGAAGGGAACCCACCAGTAGGGGGAGGGTGGCGGAGTTGATTCTAGAGATGGGGTTTAAAGCCTGTGATGTGTTTGCGTTGATCTGCCCAGTAGGCAGCTATGAATACGATTTGTCGTTTGTAAAACCTGAAGGCCTGGACCTGTTTTGGGAGAGATATAGGAGGTGCAGGAGCCTTCAGCAGTGGAAAGGTTTGGTGGCAAAGGTGGTTTCCAGACAGCCTTTGATAAAATCGGGTGACAATCCTGGTCCGGAATGAATCCATACCAGAGGCTGATTTTAGTAGTTTGGCTACGCCGACATGGTGAGGTCCTCACCCCACTGCGGAAGGTCCTGGATGAGCATAGGATATGGACAGGGGCCTGGACGGTGTCAGTGCAATTGAGGGTGCTGGGCAATGTGGTTCAGCATCTTCCCTGCTCAGCTTTCTGGGGAGGGATAGGCTGACCATTTTCTATCAAGGTCAGCCTAAAGTTTGTAACAAATGCAGAGAGAAAGGCCATTTTGCATCATCCTGCACCATCAAGGAAGTCTCACTGTGCCAGGATTTTGGCCATTTGGCCAAAGAATGCACCGAGATTCTGTGTAATTTGTGCCAGCAGCTGGGTCATCCATATAGTCTGTGCCCAGAGGCACTACACAACCTGCCAGGACTGGAGGCTGAGCTGCAGAGGCTGGATAAAGAGGATGAGGCAGCTGATGCTAGGGAGGAAACTGTTGTTGCCCCTCCTGTGTCTGTTCCCTCTGTTGTGTCAGATTGTGTTTCCCCCAGTAATGTCACCCCTGAGTCTGTCCCTCCTGTCCCTAATTCCTACAGTACGTAGATCCTCCAGACTGGCGGAAGCTGCTGGGGGGGCGGGTTTAGCGGATCTTCCCTCTCAGCCTACTCCACCTCGTGGTACCTGTCCCCCGTCAGCGCAAACGTGGTCAGGAGGTTGTGGGGGTGTCGGATGGGGGTGGAGCCGATGGGGCTCAGGGAGGGGTATCCATGTCCCATGTCTCTCACCTCCTGCTGGGGGGGATTCGGCTGATGAAGGGTGGGAGAGGGTGAAGGAGAAGAGGAAGAAGAAGAAGAGGAGGATGAGAAGAGCTGTCCTCTCTTCCTCAGAATCAGATCCAGGAGGGGTCCCTCATCTTGGCAATACTTTTTCAGTTTTGTCAGGTGATGAGATGGTATCTGATATATCCATTTCTTTATCATCTATGGATGAGGGGGAGTCACGTACTCTGAAGAGAGCTGTTTCGGGTGATGAGAGTGTGGTAGAGGTTAAGAAACGACTACCCCAATCATCCTGATGGCAGTTCCCGCTCTGTTAAAGGTGGCGACCATTAAAGTCGCCAGCATTAAATCTGCAAGAGCTCGTGATACGGGCCTTATTTTTGCTCAGCGAGTTTGATGCTGAGATTTTATTTTTGCAAGAGACCTGGCTCAATACATTGGCCGATGTCTATCTAGCAAAAAGGGAGTGGAGATGTGGTCCCTCCTTTTGGTCTCTTGCGGCTGAACCTTGCAGCGGAGTTGCGGTCCTTTTTAAAAACCGATATGGTAACGTGCCGGCGGGTAATTGAGGTAGAAATGGGGAGATGCATGGTCTTAGGACGTCCTCTGTTGGGGGGCAGGACCTGCGCCTGATCAATATCTATGGACCGCAGTCAAAATGGGGCAGGAAAATGCCTCCTCACAAAGATCAAGCCTTCCTTTTTACATCCCAGCAGGTTGTCTTTGGAGGTGACTTTAACACCATAATTAGGCCTGAAGACAGGAGAGGCTCCATAGACAAGCTGGGTTATGATAGCGTTTTTCTCAGAGATTTGGTTAGACAGGCAGGCCCCCCACCCTGGTAGAATGTGCACATTAAGCACTGCACTGGCAGCACGGGGTTCACATTTCAGAGAGGGAATAGTCAGAGCAGGATAGACAGGTTTTTTTTAAAGGAGAACTCTAGCTGCTTTTTCGGCTCCTGAGTTGAAGGCGGTGGAGTTCTCTGACCACTGTAAGCTGTCTGTGACTCTGAATGCCTCGGACACTCCACCCCAGGGGAAGGGGTGTCCTGGAAACTGAATTCGGCTCTCCTGGAAGAGATGTAGAGGTAAGACAAATCCTTTGAGGATTTTTTTCAGGCACAGGTTTTCTATTCTGGACTTTTGCAGCAGTAAGTCAGAGTGGAGGGAGCTTGTGAAACAAAGGGCGATTGGACTTTTCAAGGCCATAAGTAAGAAGAAGCAGCTTGGTATGTATATTGCCTACCAGCATTTGCGGAGGAAGCTTGATCGTCTTGTCTCGTATGGAGGAGAATCCAGGGGGAGAGATCTCTGAAGTGAAGCTTCTTCTTAGGAAGTGTCATTACGACCGGCATGCCTCCTTGGTTCTGGAGAGGGATATGGGAAATATCACTCGCCTGAATCCTTACCAGAACTGTAAGCAAGGCATAGCAGTTAAGACGGTCATTGGCCTGAAAGACAGTACGGGTTCCCCTGATAAAGTCCAGATCAGGGATCTTGGAGATCTTTGGGTCGTATTATGCAGACCTCCTGGGAAGAAAGGACCTTAGCCGGGACAGGATGGAAAGCTTTCTGGATTCTACTCCAGGATTGGGAAATGGTGCATTGCTTTGATGAATTTGACAGAACCAATTTCAGCGGATGAGGTAGTTCAGGCTATAGACAAGCTGGCTACCAAAAAATCGCGCCTGGGCCAGATGGATTGACAGCTGAATTTTACAAGTGTTTTAAGTCCATTCTGGCTCCCTTTTTTAGCGGTGAGGTTTTTAACAGCTGTCTAGAAGAGGGTTCGCTCCCTCCCTCCATGAGGCAATCCGCTGTGATTCTTCTGTCAAAAGGTAAAGACCCCTCAATGATTGAGAACTGGCGCCCCATCAGTCTTCTCAATGTTGATAGAAGATCTTGGCAAAGATTCTATTTTGGCGCTTGTCGTCAGTAGCAGGCGATTTGTTGTCCAGCCATCAGCACTGTTCGGTTCCAAGGTAGAAGAAGTACCTTTTCAGCAGTTTTGGCTATCCGGGAGGCTTTGGAACGATGCAGGGCTGCTGGATGGAGAAAGTACTTGCTGGCATTGGATCAGGCGAAAGCTTTTGATCGAGTGAATCATGAATATCTGTGGTTGCTGCTTGGTAGATACGGCCTGCAGGGGAGGTTTATAGATTGGCTGAAGACATTATATAAAGGGGCTGAGAGCTTCCCACTTGTTAATGGTTGGGTTGGGCGGCCTTTTGAGGTCGGCTCTGGTGTGCGCCAGGGATGTCCTTTGAGCCCCCTGCTATATGCTTTCGCAATCGACCCCTTTGTAAGAAGGCTAGAGGGCGCATCGTTGTGCGGGGTGCCTCTGGGCATTGCTATTGTGCCGCCTTTGAAGGTCGTTGCCTATGCTGATGATGTGTCTGTTATTATCTCTGGGACTGAGGAGGCGCAGGAGGTGGTCTCTGTGATAGAGCAGTACACGGAGGCTTCTGGCTCTAAAGTCAACCATGAAAAGAGTGAAGTTTTCTGGATGGGTGAGGAGGGTGAAAGCTTCGAACTTCCGGATGCCTTCCCAGAGCCCCAGCAGGAAATTAAAAATTTTGGGCATCAAATTTGGTCCTGGTGACTATGGTCATCGAAACTGGGAAAGCAGGTTGGTAGTTGCCAATGCCAAAGTAGCAAGCTGGAAGAGATGGAGGCTTTCCTTGAGAGAGAGGGTTGCTTGATCAAAACTTACCTGATCCCGATCTTTTTATATGTCAGCTTCGTCTGTATCTTGCCAGTATCTCTCTATGCAACAGGTCTACAGCTGTTTTTTCCAACTGTTATGGGGGAAACAGGCTGAAACCTGATCAAACGCAATGTAACTTACCTGTCCAGGCGGGGAGGGTGGCCTAGGAATGGTCAACCCGATAGTTTTCTTTTCTTTGCTCTTTTTAAAGTACAATCTTGGTAATATGTTAGCAGAGACCCCGTCGGGATGAGTGGGTATTTTTCAGTCTTGGTTTAGGCCTTTTCTGCATTGCTGGGGAAGATGGCGGCCCAGTGAAAAGTCTGAGAGTCCGACATGGCAAGCTCCCGGCTTATGTTGCCCCGTGTCTGAAAATACTTCGGCAGTGGCAGGTGACAGTGGAGGATATCAGGTCCCTTCCCAGGAAGCTTCTGGGGGAGAGGATTTTGGCTTCTGCTTTCAGTGTGTCACTGGCCTTAAAGGATTGCCCAGGCTCCGTAATGAGGGAGGGATTGCGTTTGCGTTTAATTAACTCGGAGAGAATCCCTTTGAAGTTTAGGGATCAAGCCTGGCTCGCTTTCCATGGAAGGCTCTATGTGAGAGGGAACCTGAAGCACCACCCTGTGGATGATCGAGATTGTCCTAGAGCAGAGTGTGCTGGTAAGGTGGAGTCTATGGACACTTTCTGCTCCTGTGTCCCTTTAACATAGAGGTGTATAAAAGGGTGGGGAGGGTTCTGGGCATCCCCTTTCTCTATCGCATGAGTTATGCAAGAGTGTGTGTACGGGGCATTCCCAGCTCACTGGGACTTTGATTTGGATACACTTTTTCTAGTTAGTATAGTTGTCCGTTACTTCACATGGAATGCACGGTGTCAGATTACCATCCGGAAGAAATTCCTCCCTGTAGAGGTGGTGGTGCACGATATTTCTGGGTGAGGTTGGGAAGATTCGGGGTCTTGAGCAGGGCAGGGAGCCTCGGGCGGTCTGGATAAGGGCGTGGAGGAATATCAGACCTGCCTTTGGTGAACTGTCCATCTCTGGGTGAGGGGGGTCTTTCCTTATACTGTTCTTTTCACTCCCGTAGTTTTTGTTGATTAAGATCTTTTTTGAAGAAAGGGCTGCATGCATAAGGGGGGCGGGGTGGTTTCTTGACCTCACAGGTTTGATGTCTGGTGTAGTGATGTGAGTGGTAGTACGATTTATTTCCCCAATTATGTCATGTTCATTTTGAGATGTTTGCTTTTGTCTGACAGCAGATTTTGCTATGTTTATCTTCGTTTTGCTGTAATATATATAATTTTTTTAAATTCTGTATAATATTTTATGTTTATTGATTGCGAGACTTTTAATAAAGAAAAATTGGGAAGAATGTCCCTTACATTGGGGGTCAGTGGGAAGAATGTCCCTTACATTGGGGTCAGTGGGAAGAATGTCCCTTACATTGGGGTGTCAGTGGGAAGAATGTCCCTTACATTGGTGGTCAGTGGGAAGAATGTCCCTTACATTGGTGGTCAGTGGGAAGAATGTCCCATTACATTGGTGGTCAGTGGGAAAAAATGCCCATTACATTGGGGGTCAGTGGGAAGAATGCCCCTTACATTGGGGGTCAGTGGGAAGAATGTCCCTTACATTGGGGGTCAGTGGGAAGAATGTCCCTTACATTGGGGATCAGTGGGAAGAATGCTCCTTACATTGGTGGTCAGTGGGAAGAATGTCCCTTACATTGGTGGTCAGTGGGAAGAATGCCCATTACATTGGTACACAGTGGGAAGAATGCTCCTTACATTGGTGATCAGTGGGAAGAATGTCCCTTACATTGGGGGTCATTGGGAAGAATGTCCCTTACATTGGTGGTCAGTGGGAAGAATGTCCCCTTACACTGGTGGTGGTGCTGGTGGTCAGTGGGATGCAGTATGGTAGGCAACGGAGGTCACCAATATTTTTGCTAGTAAATCAGTAAATTGTTGGCCACGGCTCCATATTAGCTGAAGCAATTCCATGTCTTCTCATTCTATCTCCATTATCACACGGCTGGCATTGGGTCAGTATAACAAGATACAGATGAGTTAGTGAAACATCAACCAGTTTTTAGGGTCTTCTGAGAACCTCCTGAAACCTATTACTCAGCATTGTGCAAACTGTGGTATCAGGTCACGTCCTCGTCAAGTACCTTCCACTGAACTCACTGATCTTTTTTTTTTTTTTTTGTTATCCTGGAAATAAAATAATATAACCCTCATCATTCTAGATAATGACGCCTACATTAGACGGTATTATAGCACCAGGCCTTCAGCCAACAACTGGGATCGGTGGAACATGAGTTAAGGAAGACAGGGACAATTCAAAATGGACTTTTGATTTTTTTTTTTATAAGTTGTGTACTCATTCACCTCTCTGAACTCCAGGAACTAAGTCGGATCCCTTGAATTCCAAATCGTTTATTTAGAGTCCCGAAGTATTCTTTTGTCCAAGTCCACATTTGTTGTTGATTTCCCGTACATTCACCAAGGGTTTGACCAAATCCATTGCTTGCATTCCCTGTCCATTTGCTGTCTGTAGTGAGGAACGTATGAACCGTAGGAAGATGCCTGAACCCAGGTAGGTCATAGGACTCATCCTTCCGTATGTATAGACCCAGGGGCAATAGGGGATCATGGGGCCCCTGTGTCCTTGCCCAAACTCAACAAAGCCTATGAAAAAGGTACCAGGGGCATCTCATGGGGCCCCCTACTGACCCCGGGCCCTCGTTTCCAAATGGTCAGTCCGCCCCTAGTATAGACCCCACAGAGTCAATGGCTGGAAAATCTTTGGCCTTTGCAGTGGATCAGTGAGCATTTGGGTGGAGGTGAGCGGTGTACATAGGGAGCTCCTTCCGTGTTAAATTGACAAATATGAATATTATGTTCTGCAGGAGTTCACCAGATTTGGAGTGAGATCTGGTGGTGTGATTGCTGTACTGTTCTCCTTGCTGGAGAGGAAACCGTACCTAAAGACCTTCAATGCAAGGATCTCCCTGCCTTTGCTTCATCCAATCAATTGATCTGGAATTTTCTGCAGAAGCTCCAGCCTCACATCTCAGCTACGTGGAGGCTACCATGGTGGCCTGGAAGCAGGAACCTGAAGGTAAGAGACTCGTAGGACTTGTAGATATGCCTGCCTTTTTTTTTTTACCTTCTAGTTGCCTATTGTATGTTCTCAATAAATCCCATTAACTATATGCTGCCCTAGGGCTGGCCATACACTATACAATCTTCTTGAGAATTTTGCTTTATATTTACCAAAAACCATATAATAGGAGGTCAAACCTAAACAACACTTTCAATCGTATCCAATTAAGCAGGACCTTGCGCTATATAGTTGAAGGAAACGCTATACAATTTTCTGTCCAATTTCTGCCCAATTTCTTTTAATGTATGGCCAGCCTAATGCCATACATCAGATCACCGGGCATCGAGGTCATTAGATCACCAGCCATTGTGGTCATCAGATCACTAGCCATCAGGGTCATCCGATCACCAGTCATCAGGGTCATGAGATCACCAGACATCATGGTCACCAGATCACCAGTCATCAGAGTCATCAGATCACCAGAAATCAGGATAATTAGATCACCAGCCATCATGGTCCTCAGATCACCAGCCATTGTGGTAATCAGATCACAAGTCATCAATGTCATCGGATCACCAGCCATTAGGGTCATCAGATCACCAGTCATTAGGGTCATCAGGTCACCAGTCATTAGGGTCATCAGGTCACCAGCCATTAGGGTCATCAGGTCACCAGTCATTAGGGTCGTGAGGTCACCAGACATTGTGGTAATCAGACCAGCAGTCATCAGGGTCATCAGATCACCAGCCATTAAGGTAATAAGATCACCAATCATTAGGGTCATCAGATCACCAGCCATCAGGGTCATCAGATCACCAGAAATCAGGGTAATTAGATCACCAGCCATCCATGGTCATCAGATAACAAGCCATTGTGGTAATCAGATCACCAGTCATCAAGGTCATCGTATCACCAGTCATTAGGGTCATCAGATCACTACTCATCAGGGTCATCAGATCACCTGCAATCAGGGTCATCAGATCACCCAGCCATTAAGGTAATAAGATCACCAATCATTAGGGTAATCAGATCACCAGCCATCAGGGTCATCAGATCACCAGAAATCAGGGTAATTAGATCACCAGCCATCCGTGGTCATCAGATAACAAGCCATTGTGGTAATCAGATCACCAGTCATCAAGGTCATCGTATCACCAGTCATTAGGGTCATCAGATCACTACTCATCAGGGTCATCAGATCACCTGCAATCAGGGTCATTAGATCACCAGCCATTAAGGTAATAAGATCACCAATCATTAGGGTCATCAGATCACCAGCCATCAGGGTCATCAGATCACCAGTCATCAGGGTTATCAGATCACCAATCATTAGGGTCATCAGATCACCAGTCATTAGGGCCATGAGGTCACCAGACATTGTGGTCATCAGAACACCAGCAATCAGGGTCATCAGATCACCAGTCATTAAGGTAATACGATTACCAATCATTAGGGTCATCAGATCACCAGTCATCAGGGTCATCAGATCATCAGATCACTAGTCATCATGGTCATCAGATCACTAGTCATCAGGGTCATCAGATCAATAGTCAGCAGGGTCATCAGATCAATAGTCATCAGGGTCATGAGATCACCAGCCATCACGGTCATCAGATCACCAGCCATCAGGGTCATCGGATCACCAGTCATCAGGGTCATCAGATCACCAGACATCACGGTCATCAGATCACCAGCCATCAGAGTCATCAGATCACCAGTCATCAGGGTCATCGGATCACCAGTCATCAGGGTCATCGGATCATCAGCTATCGTGGTCATCAGATC